GATACTGAGGCAAAGTTCAGGATAAACCCTTTGCATTTGTCCTCAGTCTGAGAATCCTTTTTTGCTTGCTGTGATAGACAGGTCCACATAGACTGCTAAATTTGGGCTGCAGATTCTTCACTGGGGAAAGAATTTAGGAGCATCTGTGTCCCACACTGTGCAGATTGGCAGTGGGAAGGACATGCTACAGGGTGAGGGTTGCACATCTTTGGTAGGACTGTGGTTTCCCTTTAGTGAAGTGGTCTCTCCATCACAACGTTCCCTTGCCTGTAGTGCTGGAGTGATAGCAGGCAGCGTGATGGGCAGAAAGCATCCAAGCAGTGCAGAGTTGAAAGGGGATATGTTTAGAGAAGTCAGAATCAGGACTGAGCGGATTTAGAGTAAATCTAGCATGTGCTTCTTCACTTAATGATTGGTGAAATTGCGCATCTCCATGATGCATGAGGTTAAGCATTTTAATTTTTATAAGTTCAAAAGCAAATATTAATTGCATTTTTTTTTAATGAAAGAAGAAGAATCTCTGTAGGGTTTTTATTATTATTATGGCATGCTGTTTTTAAGATGTAAATTGAAAGCAATCCCTGACTCAGGAAATCTCAGCCTCTGTTCATTGGTTAGGCTGGGCATCTTTACCAGGGCAGTATTTTTGTGCACTTAACCACATTTATATACTTCACTAAATCCCTGGCTCAACATAGGCTTTTATGGAGATATGAACAGTAGGTCTGTGCTGCTCTTTTCCGCTGTGCTTAAGGCAAGTCCACCAGGCAGCAGAGACCTTTTATAGTGATGCTTTAATGATGGAAACTTGACCTTCTAGTTAGCTAGCAAAAGGCTATTTCCGATCAGCAATATGTCATGTCAGCTCTAACAGTTTTACCCTTTTTCTTTTATTTTCCCCTGGTGAAATGGAGGTGCTAACATGCAGGGTGTGTTGCTGCATCTGAGCTAGTGTGGGTTAGTCTCACCTCTTACCAGGCTCTCCCTCGTTTCTTATTATCCTGTGTGCAAAGATGGGGATGGCGTCAACCCAGCCTGGCTCAACTGGCACAGTACAGACCAGCGAAGCTTAACTCGACTTCAGAATATTTCAGAATATTTCAGAATATTTAAGGTTGGAAGGGACCTCTACAGATCATCTAGTCCAACCTTCCTGCTCAAGCAGGCACACCTAGAGCATGTGGCACAGGGTGGCATCCAGGCGGGTTTTGAAGACC